TCACCCAATCCTCTAAATTTTTGAAATCAGTAATAATTTCTATTTCACCATAGCATATTGTTTATACAATGATTAAATAATTCTATTAATAATCCTAACAATAGAACCCTCCCCCAAATAACAACACCAGATCCTCACATTTCAGGATATTCTTTAGTAGCTATGGCTATAGGATTCTGAATACTACCAGTATCCCTGCTAAATAAATTTAAAACACTATCATTCCCATAAAACCCCACCAAAATTTATTATTTTCCTGATTTCCATACCACCATTAATAACCGTAAACCTATGTAATAGGTAAAAGTTTTGAAGAAAATCCTATGATGCCTACAACAAAAATAGTAACAAAATATAGTATATGTCATGAAAAATCATCATTGTATGTCAACTGTCAGAACTCTAATAACCAATATTTAAAAATCTCACTCCCTAATAAAAATTCTTAATCACTCATTTATTGATCTATCAGCACCATCAAACATCTGAACATGATGAAATTTCAGTTCCCTACTGAGTTTGCCTAGCTTTACGAATCATTACAGGGCTTTTCTTAGCTATACACTGTACCTCAGACATAATAACTGCATTTTCCTCTATGACACACATCTGTTGAGATGTTAACTATGGCTGAATCATTTACTATTTGGATGCTAATGGATATCTGTATTCTTTATCAGTTTATTCTTGTAGGCTGAGGTCTTTACCTTTCTAGAAACCTGAAGCATTGGAATTATTCTTTTATTCACAGTAATAGCTATAGCATTCATAGGCCATATTTTACAATGAAGAGAAACAGCAATCACAAATTTACCAGTAACTGTACCGTACATTGGCACCAACCTGTTAGAATGAATTGGAGGTGGATTTTTTCTTGACAGAGGCACTTTCACACAATTCTTCACCTTTCATTTTATTCTGCCATTCATTGTTTCAGCTCTAGTTATTGTGCACCTTCTATTCCCACATCAAATAGGGTCACATAACCCAAGGAATCTCAACCAATGCAAATAAAATCCCATTCCACCCCTACCACACAATTAAAGGCATTTTAGGATTTGTTTTTCTACGATTACTTCTACTCGAACTTGTTTTATTCTTTCCTGACTTTTTAGGAAACTGAGAGTATATTCCAGCAAATCCCCTCAATATACCACCTCATATTAAACCAGAGTGGTATCTTCTATTTGCCAATGCAATTTAGGATCTACTCCCAATAAACTAGGAGGTGTTATAGCCCTTATGCTCTTAATCTTATTTTTAGCAATCATTCTAATTCTTCAGTTATCTAAGCAATGAAGCGTGATATTCCAGCTACTAAGCCAATGCCTATTTTGGGTTCTGGTATGTAATAGCCTCATACTCACACAAATTGAAGATCAATCAGTAGAATACCCTTTCATTGTTGTTGAATAAGTATTATCCATTCTGTATTTTTCCCTTGTTCTCATATTAATACCGCTTATTAGCCTAATCAAGAATAAACTTCAATGAAGAGTTCTTGTAGTTTATTAAACTTGGTCTTGTAAACCAAAAATGGAGAGCACCTCTCCCCCGCGCAAAGAAAAAGCCTTTCACTCCGCTCTCAGCATGCAAAGCTGAAATTCTATTCCCTGATTCATATACTGAATGCAAAGAAACTGTTCTTGAGTTCTATGTCAGTATGGTAAAAAATAAACATAAAATCTAATCATCCTGTGTACATCATCCATTATGTAATTTACCCCATTAATTATGTACTAGTACTATATACACTTCATCATACATTATACATTTATATCTTACGGTGCTTTAAAATCCATTCCCCGTGCATACAAGCCTGCTCATCAAACTAATCACAGTGCATAATACATTAAATTAAAAGTCCACACAAATGGATTTAACCATGAGTATTGTTCCATACATTAAGTTCTTCATTTTAAATAGGATATAATATCATACATAGCACTGGAAGTCAAATCCTTTTTTGACAACATGCTTATCACTTCCAATAGGATTTCTTATCTACAAAGCTTTGAGAAAGTAGCAGTCTGCTAAAGAAGTGTCCTTCTTCTCACTCTGAACTCAGAAAACTTGGGGGTTTCTGGACTGAAACTATACCAGACATCTGGTTCTTGTTTCAGGGTCATGAGCTTATAACTATTCACTCATTCCTCTTAAGTAAGACATTCCAGTGAACTAATGTCTAATCAGCCCATTATCACTCATAACTGTGGTGTCATGCATTTGGTATTTTTTAATTTGGGGGGATGGTGTGATCCAACATGGCTGTCAAGGCCTTGACACAAATTGATTGTAGCTGAACTTAAATTGAATGTTATTTTCCCACATAAAAACTTTAAGGTGTTAATTAATCCTTGCTCAATGGACATAATAAAAATAAGACACAATCACAGATACATAATTATTCCCATCAAGTATGATTAACTCTGCAAACTCCCTCTAATCTCCTACTTTAAGTTGTCACACTATTTATGTAAATATGTCTTTTATTCTTGCCAAACCCCAAAACAAAAAAATCTTATATGTGCTGATTATTACCTAAGGCTCTAATATGTACCCACATATTATTAAATTCAATTATAAGCTTATCTAGAACATTATTTCAGCCTAACTCCTAATTAAAGCATTGTCTAAAACAAAAAAAAATGCATTAAAAATATGATTTTCTGCCTCCATCCACTATGGCATGATATACCTATGTAACAATCCTGCAAGATCTGCACATGTACCCCAGAACTTAAAGGATAATAAAAAAAATGGAAATATGTTTTTGGTTAATATAGGTGTTTACTTCATTTGTTTTTACATAATGGAAACCAAAACTAATTTAAAACAAAAATTGAGAAAGTTAAAAAAAAATCTGATTTTCTAGGCTAAAACTTTTTGTTTCTTAATAAGATTATCAAAAAATTCTCAATGCTAGAATAATACTTAAATTTAGCAATTTCCCTGCAAGAGAGTGTTCTGTAGATACAAGTTGATGTAGCTTAATTCACTAAAGCAAGTCACTGAAAAATGCCTGAATGAATTCATGTAACTTGATAAACACACAGGTTTGGTCTTGGCCTTTTAATTAATTCTTAGTGAGATTACCTATGCAAATATCTGAATTCCAAAGAGAATGCCTTTTAGATCAGCAGAAGATCAAAAGGAGCAGATACCAAGCACACTTATTAGTATCTCATAATGCCTTGCTCAACCACACCCCCACGAGAAACAGTAGTGATAAAAATTAAGCAATAAACAAAAGTTCTAACAAGGTATAGTAACTCCCCATAGGGTTGGTAAATTTCGTGCCAGCCACTGAGGTTATACAATTAAACTAAATCAATAATACCCTGTGGTTTATGCTTATGTATAACCATAAAAGGCAATAGCTAAAATGAAAATAAACTATGAAAGTGACTTCGGTATGTTCTGAATTCACAATAGCTAAGACCCAAACTGGAATTAGATACCCCACTATGCTTAGCCATAAACTTAACTGAAATAAACAAAGTTATTTGCCAGAATACTACCAGCAACAGCTTAAATCTCAGGGGATTTGGCAGTGATTTATATTTCTCCAGAGGAGGCTGTTCTATAATTGATAAACTCTGACAAACCTCACCACTTCTCGCCAATTCAACCTGTATACTGCTATCTTCAGCTAACCCTAAAAAGTCTTAAAGTAATCACAAATATTTACGTAAAAACATTAGGTCAAGGTGTAGTCTATGAGATGGGAAGAAATAGGCTACAGTTTCTAATTAAAGGATACTCACCTAAAATAACCCCTATGAAACTAAAGGTCAAAGGGGGAGTTAGTAATAAATTAGGAATAGAGAGCGTAGGTGGATGAACATGAACATACCACCTGGCAGCCTCCTGAAATACTTTAACAAACCCACATATATAATTAAAACATTTATGTATAAGAGAAGGTAAGTCATAACAAAATAATCATATTGGAAAGTATGCTTAGGTAAACCAAAATGTATCTGAATTCAAAACACCTGACTTATACCCAGAAGATTTCATATTAATCTGACCACTTTGAACCAACACTAACAAAACTCAACAGTTACATGTATTTAAATCAAAACATTCATTCATAAAAAGTATAGAAGATAGAATTGTATTTAGGTGCTATAGAAAAAGTATTATAGGGGAGCAATGCCAAGAATAATTTTTAAAGTACGAAAAAGTAAAGCTATAAGGTAGTGATGCCTTGTAATTTTCATTTACATTTCCCTAATGATTAATGATGTTTGAGTATCTTTTCATGTACTTATTTGACAGTTGTTTATCTTCTATAGATGAGTGTCTATTCAACTCTTTTGCCTATTTGTTTATTGGAATGTTTGTTCTTTAATTGAATTTGGTGATATTTTTCTATATTCTGTATACAAGTACTTTATCAGATATGATTTTCAAACATTTTCTCCCAATCAGGGGCTTCTCTTTTTACTCTTTTAACAGTGTCTTTGTAAGACCCAGAGTTTTTAACCTTGATGCATTCCAAATTATTGATTTATTCATCTAAGGAATTTTTTATGTAACTCAAGGTCACAATTATACTCTCCTGTGTTTTCTTCTACAAGTTTTATACTTTAGGTTTTATATTTATATCTGTGATCCATTTTGAAGTGCCTTTTGCATTGTCTTTTGTATGTGGTACAATATATAGATCACAGTTCATAATTGTATATATGAATATCCACTTGTTTCTGCACAATATATTGAAAATACCACCCTTTATCCATTGAATGGCTTCTTCACCTTTGTCAAAAGTCAGTTGTCCAATATATTTTATATAGGTCAATTCCAATATATAGGTCAGTTTTTAGGTGGTTTATTTTGTTCCTTTGATCTACTTTTCTGCCTTGATGCCGGTAGCATACTGTCTTGATTACTATGGGTTTGTAAGAAGTCCTGAAATCAGATAGTGTTTGTCATCCATTTTTGTTTTCTCAAAGTTGTTTTCATTGTCTAGATCCTTTTTATTTTTACATGAATTTTAGAAACAGCGTTTCAGGTTCTTTTAGAACTATATAAGTTAGGATTTTTATTGAGATTGTTCTGAATATGTAGATAGGTTTAAACAGAACAGGCATCTTAACAATATTGAGTCTTCCAGTTCATGAAGACAGTATGTTTCTCTATTTAGGTCTTCTTTAATTTCTCTTAGCAATGTTATTTAGCGTTCACTGTACAGACCTGCCATATATTTGGATGGATTATTCCTAATTATTTCATATTTCATAGTGCTCTTATAAATGCTAGCATTTTGAATTATATTTCTGCATATTTTATTTTCACTGAGCTGTCAGCAGCCAAATGTTTAAAAGTAGCTGTTAACTAATATTCTAGATTGAGATCTTAGACTATGAAATGGAAAAGGTACCTCATATTTCACAAGCATTTGCCTGTGTTTTCATGTCAGCTTTCATAAGTTATTGAAAATATACTGTAACTAGAGGAAAAAATGTCCCAGAGACAAATCAACAGGTCATCTTAAGAAAAATCCATTGGTAAAATCGTTTAGTAGATTTCAACTTTATATGTGGTCAGAATTGAATAGATTGAATTATGGGGTTTATTTTGTTACCTACTCTCCACCACTAGCAATCCATCTCAATGAATTCTTGGGATCTGGGGCGGTGAGAGAGAAAGAGAGAGAGAACATGTATGTATGTGGGTATGTTTGTGTGTATGAATGTATATATTGCTGAAACTGCCAGAAATATTTATTGTGAGGATTACTTCAGGTTAATGACTGTAGTCATATCAGACCAGTTCATTTCCTAGGACATACTACAAAACAAATCAAAGTGATGGTTATTTTCCGAGCTGTCTTGGCTCACATTGTTACCATGGTGATTCAGTGACTGCCATGAAATTTGGTGCAGGATGAGCATTCATTTTTGTTTTTTGCCTGAATCACATATTATTATGGGAGTTGTTAAGTGGCTGTTTTCCAATTCTGATATTCCTTCTGGAAAATTAGTTTGCATTTGACAAAAAGATAGAGCTTTTTCTTCTCCCTTATTTATCAGTGTATTTATTAACATTTATATATGTCAGTATGACTCAGAGATTTCTATTTTCCTCAAAGGTTTACCCTGTGTAATTATTAGTATATATTTTTTTGTATTAGGCCATTCTTGCATTGTTATGCAAAAATACCTGAGATGGTAATTTATGAATAAAAAGGTTTAATTGGCTCACTGTTCTTCAGGCTGGACAGGAAGCATGGCCCCAGGATCTCCTTGGCTTCTAGGAAAGCCTCAGGGAGCTTTTAACCACGGCAGAAGGCAAAGCAGTAGCAGGCATGTCACATGGCAAGAGTGGGAGCAAAAGAGACAGACAAGGGAAAGGTTTCAGACTTTTAAACAACCAGATCCTGCATGAACTAACTGATGGAGAACTCACTTATCACCAAGGGGATGGCACTAAACGATTCATGAGAAATCCACCACCATGATCCAGTCACACCCCATCATGCTTCACTCTCAACAATGGGAATTACAATACTACATGAGATTCAGAGGGGACAATATCTAAACCATATCAATTTTGGTGCTCAAGTCTTCTCAAATTGGCCAGTGGGAGCCCCTTAAAGTAGGCCTCATGTCCATTTGAAGCTTTCATAAAATTCCTTGATTATGTTCTTGGCCCTCTAAGCCTATTCCTCATCTGTAAAAAGAAAGCTCTGATGTCAGCCTCAGAACATCACTTTGAGGGCTTGAAGAAAAAAAAGCCTGAAAATAACAACCTACAGTGTGTGGTACCTAGTAGACTATCAGCAAATGGTAATTCCCCATTCCAACGTGTCTCCTCCATTCTGTCAATGGGATGCCTCTGGCATTAACATAATGGCCTGACTACTAGAGCGAATACTTGAAAATGTAACCTCAAGCAGGAATAAGCTCACATTTTCATTATATGTGAGCTTCAGTGTCACTGCTGTGTGTGGGAGGGGTTCTGGGATGGAGTTGCGGAAGAAGAAAAGCATCATTGCACAGCTTCCAGTTAACTGAGTGGGAATAGGCCAGACATCACCGCATCCCCTGCATTTCATGTGCTTTCCCATCCTCTTACTTTCTTCTCTATTCCATGTGCTTTCTTATCTTCTTAATCTCCTTTCTAATGCAACCTCAGATAAGGGTGTGGACTGTGCATCCCAGAACCAGGAGCTGACAGTGAAGAACCAAGTGTGGTATGGAGTTTGTTAGACAGGTTACTGAAGCAAGAGTGAAAAGATCAGGGTCCCATCATTGGGACACTTGAGGTGAGTCACTACTCTTCTATCAGCCTCATGTATATAACAGTACACAATCTTCCTGATAACCAGTAATACTCTGGAATTTAAGTGTGATCCCTTGTGGCAATCTGTGGTCTTATGTGGTGGGGAAGAACCAATGCACTTGCAGCTAATTATATTAACAGAGAAACTGCAGATGTCCCAGCACTCTGTATAGTGGGCATTAAATTTATGATACCCAATTCTGAGCTGTTTAGGTCAGGATTTTTACAGGTGTGATCTATGGACCACTTCATCAGATATTTTCATGGTTGCTTGCTAAAATGCAGATACTTGGACCTGTCCTAGATCTGCGGAATCAAAACCAGGGAGGTGAGGTGAGAGGTGTCTACATTTTGAGTAATTTCTTTTGTTGTTTCTGTTACTCATCCACATTTGAAAAGCACTGCTGTGGATGGCAACAAGGTCTATGAAAAGTTTGAATCCTTTGATGTCTAATTTCAATATTCACACCTGAGGGTAGAGGAAGAGAGGAGAGTAAGGATTGAAAAATACCTATTGGGTATTATGCATATTACCTGAGTGGCAAAATAATCTGCACACCAAACCCCTGTGACACGCAATTTGCCTGTATAACAAACCTTCACATGTACTCCTAAACCTAAAATTAAAGTTAAAAAATAAAAATTTTAAAAATAAGTAAAATCAAAAGCCATATAAGACAAAGATAGGTAAATCTGACAGCAAATTTAACAAAAGATACCACAAACAAAGGAAGAGGACTCCAACAGATTGGAGGAAAATATGCCATTTTTATAATAAAGAATGAGTATCTGCATCATAAATAAACAAGAAAAAAGAAAAAGAAGACTCATTTATAAGACTATTAAGCTTTATTGAATTTATTGAATTGGCTTGATTTAATCTTTCCACAATGTAAACAGATATCAAAACATTACAGTGAACCCTATAATATATACAATTATTAGTCAGTTAAATTAAAATTTAAAAAATACCTGAGGTGATAAGTAGGATTCAGTTGTAAGACTATTAAGCTTTCTTTTCCCAATATATCTGCCTTAGAATTTTCAAATTAATGTGATCCCTGGCCATTTATATTTTTAAAAATCAGAACACAGGGACTTTTTAAATTTTTATTTTTATTTTAATTTTCATGGTACATGTAAAACATGGTTTGCCCTCTGTTTTAAGTACTATATAATTCTGGTTTTACTGATAAGAGTTTGAGTGTTTTTATGGTGAAATAAAACTATTCAAAGTTACAAGATTTTTACATGGCAGAATAGGGTTTGCCTCCAGTCTATATCCAGAGCCCACACTCCTAACCAGTATACTTAGGAAGAAGAAACAGACATTTGTTGAACTATGTCAGCCCATGGTGGTTGGTGTAACATTGAGACCATAGCTCTTTTATCTATGCTTCTGTAGTCATTCTACGTTGTACCAGATGGTATTTATTTAAGAAAAAGTAATGCTTTTAAAAATAAAAACATTACTAAACATCATAATTACTTTGTACTTGACAACTTGGCTGTTGAGGTAGATAATTCCTTCAACCCCCATGATAAATGAATTCTTTTCCCTTTTAGGAACACAGAGTGGTTTTCCAGATGGGAATCACATTGCTCTCTGTCCCTGAGATCTTTCTGGAGGCAGGGCTACTCAGTCCCTCTTTGGCAGGTGAGTATAGATGCAGTGTGGGGACTTGCTCAAGGGCACCTAGAGTTAGTGGGATAGGTCTGGTGCTATAGCCAAGTATGTCTCCTGCTTCATATCCAGCTGCATGTCTATTATACATAGCTGTATTAATTCATTTTCATGCTCCTGATAAAGACATACCCAAAACGACGAACAAAAAGAGGTTTAATTGGAGTTACAGTTCCATGTGGCTGGGGAGGCCTCAGAATCATGGTGAGAGGTGAAAGATTCTTCTTACATGGCAGCAGCAAAAGAAAATGTGGAATAAACAAAAGCAGAAACCCCTGATAATCCCATCAAATGTCGTGAGACTCATTAACTATCAGGAGAATAGCACAGGAAAGACCAGCCCCTATGATTCAATTAACCCCACCCCCATCCCTCCCACAACATGTGGGAATTCAGGGAGATAAAATTCAAGTTGAGATTTCGATGGAGACACGGCCAAACCATATAATTCCACTCCTACCCCCTCCAAATCTCATATCCTCACATTTCAAAACCGATAATGCCTTCCCAACAGTCCCTAAAAGTCTTAACTCACTTCAGCATTAACCCAAAAGTCCACAGTCCAAAGTCTCATCTGAGACAAGGCAATTCCCTTCCACCTATGACCCTATAAAATCAAAAGCAAGCTAGCTACTTCCTAGATATAATGGGGATAGAGGTATTGGGTAAACACTGCCATTTCAAATGGGAAAAATTGACCAAAACAAAGGGATTACAGGGCCCATGCAAGTCCAAAATCCAGCAGGGCAGTCAAATTTTAAGGCTCCAAAATGATGTCCTTTGACTCCAGGTCTCACATCCAGGTCACACTGACGTAAGAGGTGGGTTCCCATAGTCTCAGACAGCTCTGCCCCTATGGCTTTGAAGGGTACAGCCTCCCTCCTGGCTCCTTTCATGGACTGGCATTTAGTGTCTGCAGCTTTTCCAGGCGTATGGTGCAAACTGTCAGTGACTCTACCATTCTGGGGTCTAGAGGATGGTGGCTCTCTTCTCACAGCTCCACTAGGCACTGCCCCAGTAGGGACTCTCTGTGGGGGCTCCAACCCCACCTTTTCCTTCTGCATTGCCCTAGCAGAAGTTCCCCATGAGAGCCCTGCCCCTCCAGCAAACTTTTAACTGGGAATCCAGGAGTTTCCATACATCTTCTGAAATCTAGATGGAGGTTCCCAAACCTCAATTCTTGACTTCTGTGTACCTGCAAGCTCAACACCATGTGGAAGCTGCCAAGGCTTGGGGCTTCCACCCTCTGAAGCCACAGCATGAGCTGTATGTTGACCTCTTTCAGCCACAGCTGGGACACGGGGCACCAAGTCCCTAGGCTACACACAAAATGGGGACCCTAGGCCTAGCCCATGAAACCTTGGGCCTCCAGGCCTGCGACGGGAGGAGCTGCCATGAAGGTTTCTGACATAGCCTGAAGACATTTTCCCCATGGTCTTGGGGAGTAACATTAGGCTCCTTGCTATTTATGCAAATATCTGCAGCCAGTTTGAATTCCTCCCCAGAAAAATGGGTTTTTCTTCTCTATCGCATAGTCAGGCAGCAAATTTTCCAAACTCTTATGTTCTGCTCCCCTTATAAAACTGAATGCCTTTAACAGAACCCAAGTCATCTGTTGAATACTTTTTTGCTTAGAAATTTCTTCTGCCAGGTACCCCTAAATCATCTTCCTCAAGTTCAAAGTTCCACAAATTTCTAGGGCAGGGGCAAAATGCTGCCAGTCTCTTTGCTAAAACATAAGAGGCACCTTTATTCCAGTTCCCAACAAGTTCTTCATCTCCATCTGAGATCACCTCAGTCTGGATCTTATTGTCCATATTGTTATCAGCATTTTTGGCAAAGCCATTCAGCAAGTTTCTAGGAGGTTCCAAACATTCCCACATTTTCCTGCCTTCTTCTGAGCCTTCCAAACTGTCCCTACCTCTACCTGTTACCCAGTTTCAAAGTTGCTTCCAATTTCTGGGTATCTTTTCAACAATGCCCCACTGTACTGGTATCACTTGACTGTATTAGTTCATTTTCATGCTACCAATAAAGACATACTCGAAACTGGGAACAGAAAAAGGTTTAATTGGACTTACAGTTCCACATGGCTGGGAGGCCTCAGAATCATGGTGGGAGGTGAAATGCCCTTCTTACGTGGTGGTGACAAGAAAGAGAAAATGAGGAAGAAGCAAAAGCGAAAACCCCTGATAAGCCCAACAGATCTTGTGAGACTCATTAACTCTCACAAGAAAGAATAGCACAGGAAAGACTGGCCCCCATGATTCAATTGTCTCACCCTGGGTCCCTCCCACAACACATGGGAATTCCAGGAGATACAATTCAATTTGAGATTTAGATGGGGACACAGCCAAACCATTTCAACAGCATTAGCTGTGTTCATATCTGTAGTGCTTCACTTTTCAAGGGCTCAGAGGATTCGTGCTTCTCTGAAGTTAACCTGCAGATTATATACAGGAACACTAAGTATCTTTAAATAAGAAAAAATGGGGTGTTTATTTTTTTATATAGCCCAAACTGTACGGGGAAATTAGAAGAAAAATTCTGAGAATCATACATCATGTTCTCTTTTCTGTCTTTTTTCATTCAATCAACATACTGTATGTGAGGTTTACACTTATCGTTGTCTATAGTAGTAGATCATTCATCATCATTGGTGAATATTATTATATCAAGTGGATATTTCACAATAAACATATATGCTATGTGGATTTTTTTCTAGATTTTGACATGAATAACAGCGTTATGAATGTCTTGTACGTATCTTTGGATAAACATTAATTTTTCTTTCTCTTGGGTTCATACCTTCCCCAGACCTAAGAATGAAATTTCTGAGTTGTAGGGTATGTATATGATCAGTTCAGTCAATACTGCCAAGCACTTTTTCAAAGTGGTTGTTGAATTTATGTTTTCACCAGTGATGTGAGGATTACACAGCTTCCATATCCTCACTGACACTTGGTGTTTTCCATCTTTTAAATTTTCTTTTTCTGGTGTATGTGTGGTGGTATCTCATTATGGTTTTAATTTTACTTGTTAAAAATTTCTCAATTTAACTCTCTGGAGTTTTAAATCTCTTTTAATCTAAAGACAGTTCTTTCTCTCTCTTTCTCTCTCTCTC